ACTTGTCTATTTCAATTCTTAGACCAATATATCAAAAGCTCTTATTTCTTAAAATACTGAAATAGAAAAAAAAGATCAAGTTAATATTTCATTTCTTATGTAAAGACAGAATACTAGATTTGTGTGAGGGAGAGAGGCGTAGGACTAGATTGCTTGTGAACACCACAAACCAAGCTTGTCTAAGCTGGTACACAAAGTCCTGTTAGTCCTTAGAGCAGGGTAGGAGGAAAATAATACCATTTTTGTTGCCCAGCTGCACAGCAGGACCTGGAGAAACTCCTGCTCTGCATTCTTAGAAATTGGTAACTGCAAGATCTTCTTAGTGGTGTGCCTGTCATCTCCAGAGACCTTCTCCTGTTTGCCATGCTCAAGCTGTCCTCTAGGTCAAAGACACAGAGTTTCACTAGGATGAATTTATTTACCCTCCAGAAAATGTCTTGGAGTAGTCTTAATCACCCTGTGGTCTGATACAGACAGACAAATGCCACCCATGAAGGTTTGACCCAGTGGATCAGCTGTGCTGGAAGACACCCTTGTCCATGAGAAGGGGTGTAAAACTGGCAAAATGATGTGTGTCAGGTGTGAGAGAATTTAGAGGGGGTGGAAAAATCTGTTGAGATACTGAACATGTCCATGCACGGGTTCCTTCAAACCATGCCTATACAGCTTATGCCTTAACTAAACCAGTATACACAACACTTCTGGCAGGGTTGGCAGAGTAACCAGAGACACATATCAGTACAAAAGAAATAAACCAAACTCTGGCTCTGAGTGCAAGAGCAGAACATCAGAGAGGATGTAGAGCTTCACAACCACTGTGTCTCGATGTGCATCATTCTGCCTTCAACATGGAAATAAAACTGACCTGTTCTCCCTCCACGGGTCATGAAAGATCACAGAATCGTAGACTAAAAGAGTAGAAGGGTCTCAAGGATCATCTGGTCCAACCTCTCAGCAAATCAGGATCTAGTCAAGATGGCCCAGACAAATCTCAGAAGTGTCCTGTGTGAGAAGGCTGCCTAGTGTGAATATTAGCCACACTTCTGAAGGCCTCCCAGTTTAGTTTTGGTGCTGTTGGGGGTGTTGTTGGTTTTGTTGAGTGTTGGGTTTTTTGGGGATATATTTTTTTAAAATTTTATCTTTACATATATTTATGTACACAAATAATGGGATGAGAATGTTGGAGTAGCTGTTTCGAAGCCTTTATTCCATCACAATCATCAGTCTCATTTTACCAAGCAAGAACCAAGCAAGGGAGCTGGAAGAGCTTCAGCCACTAGCAGCAGCAGAGGAAGTTCTCTTTGTTACAAAGTCTTTTAACAACTTTCTAGCCAATAGCATAATATTAAAAGCTGACAAGCAGTCGCTCAGGCCAATTAATAAAGCTACACATACCTCTTGCTTTGAACAATGCTTGCTTGTAATAGCTTAAAACAATGGCTAAAGCTTCATTATTAAGCTTACCTATTTCTACTATCTTGCTTAACATATTGTCCTGAGGCCCATCTCTACACAGCTCATAGCCCTTACTGTTTCTTGTCCTTGCATCTTCAGCATTCTTGCATTTCTCCATCCTGAGATTTACTTTCATACAACTTTTTGAGAGTTTTATAACTTTTCTATTTCCCACAATTGAGGGTTTTGTTTATTTGGGTTTTTGATTTGTTTTTTTTGTTTGGGTTCAAAGTACTTTGTTCTAGAGGTACTGTCACTTCTGAAGCCCTGTAGCTCTGTCTGTAGGTGTTGCACTTCATGTGTTTACCTGAGAGGCAAGCCATAATAGGAGATTGATTCACTAGCTAATCTGAAGCCCCTGGACAAAACCCATCTGTTGTCATCCCAGCCTGGATTCCCAGAGATGCCTGAGGCCCTGAGAGTCCCAAGGTAGTGAATGGGTGAAGGTTGGTTGAGCCCTGTAGGAAAACATGGTTTGATCTCTCTTTTAAACCATTAGCAATTACAGATGCACAAAAGCTTGCCTGGCAGGTGACAAAGGACCACCATTCCCCACTCACAAGCACAGAAAACCAGAGTGCATCAGCCTAAAAACCTATTTAGAGTGAAAATCATGTTCCACCAAGTGTTAGCATTTATTTGGATGTGAACAAGATTGCACATTTATTTCTGGATGGTTCTCATGGGACTTTTGTCTAGACTGAATATTCACCTTAAAACATACTCATATTTTTTTAAAAAAGGGGGAATAATCATTGGATTTAAAAGCAAGTTCACAGCAGTCATTCTTTACCCTGCTTTCACACTCTGCCCAAAAAAATTGCTAAGGACATTTATATCTCACAACTAGGGGTGCATCAGTACCATTTCAACTGACATGTCATCATATGACTTCAGGCACTAAGAATGCTCTTTAGTCCTAGACAATACATATTTCACTTATCATTTAAGTAGTTTTCAATCTGCAAATTTTTTTCAAAAACTTTTTTTAATAATATAAAAAAGAAAGAAACAAAATCTATACCTTACTCAAGTGGTAACTTGAAGGGAAAAATTAACATTTTTCAGAGGATGGTGAGGCACTGGAACAGGTTGCCCAGTGTTCAAGGCCAGGTTGGATGGGGCTTTGAGCAACCTGGTCTAGTGCAAGGTGTCCCTATGCACGGCAGGAGGGTTGGAAATAGATGATTTTTAAGACCTCTTCCAACCAAAGCCATTCTATGATGATGATTTTACCTCTGCTCAATGCCACAATTTCTTCACTTAAAATAAGAACTGCGTCAAAAAAAAAAAAAAAATCCTGAATGTAACTACACATTTAAGTTTTACTTCTGCAATTGCTCCAGGCTCAGTAACGAACAATACTTGCAGGAATTTGAATATATTTGAAGCCTTCTGTTTTTTTAACCTGTGTATGAGTTTGTGTGTTACAAAATTCTGCCTCTCTAGAGGTGAGCAGACACCATGTGCCACCTACTTTACTATTTTGCTTCAGAGGTTTGAGTTATTAAGAAGTAAGCTTAATGCAAATAAATTACTTTCCCCTCCTGGCATTTGGCAGTCACACAGAAATGCAACAGAAGAGCAGAATATGAGAGAAAGTCACTTCACAGAACTGTGTTCAGAAAGAATAGCATGCATTAAATTCAAAATGAACCATCTGTGGCAATTCCTAAGCAGTGCCTCATTTCAGTAAGTGCAAGCCTGGGAATGAAAGTGAAACTGTACCTAACTGTCAATTAAAATAATCTAATATAGACTTTTCTGCCTCTGGGGGGAGGGTGTGCACAGATTTTCTGCAAGCCCTCTAGGTTTTATTTTCTTGGCATAAATTTTACAGCTCAGGAGAACTGAATCACATCTGTAGCCAGCATATATTACACACCTCATGGGAGAAAAGGTGCTGGAAGAGGCACTTTCATTGTGGATCACCTCTCATTAGTCCATATGTATCTGGTATAAGATAATATAACTTCACATAAAAATTAATTCTAAAACAATTTCTAAGAAAAGAGTGATTTCACTTCAGAAATAAGGTGTTTGCCATTCCTCATTTGGGAAAACTGTATCTTATAAAGTTGCGTTTAGAAACGAAATCCAGAGAGTTTCTGTTGGTTCACTCAGACCACAAAAAACCAGAGCAATGGCAGCATAGCCAAGGTAAGTAGAAACACATGGAAATTCCTGCTTGCCCAAGCACTATATTTGTCTATATATACTGTTCATTGACTGGCTACACCTTTGGATTTACAGGATTTAAATCACATCAGAATTTGGTCCTCAGAGTCTTCAGCAGGCAGTTCTGGGAAAGGGTCCAGGAGAATTCAGTCAGTTACCACGAAGACTCTGACATTTTATAGGATATAGATTGCTGACTGAAAAAAATATGTATTGTTAGGCAGTAAAATTGCAGTTTTAGTCCTTATTGAATTTGGACCTACACTGCAAGCTGTAAAAAATACTCAGCTAGTAGAACATTGTGTATATTTATTGAATCTGGAAAATACCCCTGAGAGAGCAGCTTCCAATGCTGCCAGGATACTTTCCATAAGCACTGAACTAGATTGTATGTGTGTAAATACCAAGTTTATTTCAAGACCTTCCATTTTATTGGTACTACTTTGTAAGCTATTTTGTCACCTGAATGAGTATATGGTTTAAGAATATAAAAATCTTAAAGGTATTTTAAATTCTGTTTTATCAACATTCAGGTGTTAATCCATGTTTAAAATAAGGCTAGTATGGCAGCAGCTCCAGCTCTGCTTGCCTTCATGTTCCAGTTTCAGTTGGGATAAAATTAGTTTTCCTCTTACTAGAACAGTGCTGTATTTTGGATTCAGGATGAGAATAATGTTGACTACACTCTGATGTTTTGGCTGTTGCTCAGGAGTGCTCACCCTAAGTCTTAGAATTTTCAGTGGCTCATGCTCTGCCGGTGAGGAGCTGCACAAGGAGCCAGCAAGGAGCGCAGCTGGGACAGCTGATCCAAATAGTCCAGAGGGATATTCCACACCATAAAGTATCACGCTCATGTAACTGGGGGATTTGGATGGGAAAGCCTGATTGCTGCTGGGGGACAGGCTTGACATCATTCAGAGGGTAGAGAGCACTGCTGTTGTGCATCACTTATTCTTCTTGGGTTTTCTTTCTTTCTCTACTTTTCATTGCAATTATTACTGTTTTAACTTTAGTACTATTATTATACTTTCCCTTTTTTTCAGTTACTAAATTGTTCTTGCCTCAACCCACAAGTTTTTACTTTTTTCTGATTCTCCCCCCCAGCCCACTGGGGGAGAGAGGAGTGAGAGCACCTGCATGCTACTGAGTTGTCACTGTGGTTAAGGCACGACACTTAAATATTCAGAGTCCCAGCACAGCTGAAGCCTGTTTGCAGGCTCAGGCCCTCAGCAGTGACAATGCCTTCCTGTGCACGCCTTTGGAGCAAATCAGGGACTTACCAGGATCTCCTTACTGAGAGCCACCCCAAGGTGCAGCTGTGACTACATCATCCACCCTGAGACCTCAGCTGTAACTCTTTCTTCCAGGTACTCCTTTCAAGATGAAGAAGACATGTTCATGGTGGTTGATCTCTTACTTGGAGGTGACCTGCGTTACCATTTGCAGCAGAATGTCCACTTCAATGAAGGAACTGTTAAACTATACATTTGTGAGCTGGCACTTTCCTTGGATTATTTGCAGAGATACCACATCATTCACAGGTGAGTGGATTTCATTTGAGGAATGGGCTGCTTGCTTTTGGCAGAGCAGAGGAATTTTATCATAGATCTGATTTTATAGTTCTGGTTTTTTCAAAACCTCTGAGAAGTTCCCATTGCTATTCAAGGTTGGAACTTGGCTCTGAAAGGTTTTCTCTTTAAGTGCTTTCTTTCTGTCCACATCCATTTGGTAGCCTTGTATCCTTCTCATGCTGCCCTTTTCTCCTGATTTCATACTATGATGTACATTTTTCACTATGGTCTTTAAATACTAAAGACAACCTATAACACCATCCTGAATGCTCTTAATTTATTTTTAATTCTCCAGTGCCCCAATGTTACTGAACACAAAAACGTTGTAATTCAGCACAAGAGCTTCCCACAATAACAACAGGGAATGGTTATAGAACCTAAAGAATAATTTGTTTACTTGCAGCATCTGCATGAAGGTCAGGAGGAAGAGAGGTGGGGAAGTAGGAATAATTGTACAAATCAATTGCAGCAAGGATAGAGGCTGCATCTTTTTTTTCACTTTTTATATTACAGCAATCTGCTAGGTTTTCTGCCATACAGAAGCAAGTATAGTATTCACTGCAAAAAAGATGTCAGGAATGAGGACATATTTTCCTTAAACATTTTGGCATTTAACTGAAGCAGTAGGGATAACTTCTATTTTTATGTTAACACAGCGACTATGAAATTATAAAGTTCAGGGCTTGAACCTTTATTTTACTCTTTTTTAGGCTAAATTCAGGGTTATCTTTTCTAATTTAGAGTGGTATGAATGCAATAATACAGTTTTGTTTATACAAAATCTGGATGTGACTTTCAGAGACCAAACTAAACTCAGTTGTGCCATAGATCTCCCAAAGTCCCAAAGTATAAACAAATTCATTCATGTACATTAATGGAGAGTTTTCATCCCATCCACTTGCCAGAGCTGCCTCATGATCTCACAATAAAAATACAAAAAAAATTATGGTCTGACTTTCAGAGGCGGAATGGTCAGCATGAAATCTATCTGAGCAGAGATGCAATGGTAGGTGGGTATTTTGTGTTACTGAAACTGTGCTAGACAAAATTCCACTAAACATCACAACACTTGTTTTGCTTGCAATTAAAACTCCAAGTGTAATAAGACTTGAAAATCTTGCAAGAAAATTCTTTAGTACACTGCTACTATTTTAGTACATTTCCATGTATTTTGCATAAATTTTATTCTCTCAGCGGGTATTTTAAAAGTGGAGCTCAGAATCACAGCTGACCTTTTTCCCTAATGCCTTAAGGAATGTTCTTGGTGAAAAACAAATTGATGAGATCTTTTATGCAAATAGGCTGGCAAAATATTCATGAGACAATCCAGTTTGTAATCAAAACTTGTATTTTGCTAGAAGTCTGTAGCTTAAAAATGTATCACAGAAAAGCCTTAGAAAGGTGACAGATATCTGGAGAGAAGACTGGACTGAAGTCATTGTGGTTGTTCATAGTTTTTTGTGACAGTGTCTGCCTTTTCATGGTCCCACCATGAAACTGGGCTTGACACTTTGATCTCTTTTGTATTACTTAATAATAACAATATTTTTTATTTTTTCTTTGAGTCGTAGTGGTTCACCACTTGCTGATTTGCACTGAGGTGGGGGAAGACATGGCCATCCAGAGCTGGTTGTTGGCTCCACTTGGGGGCAGGTTCTGGGGTTTGGATTTTGTTTTCACTCTGCATCTAAAGTTGTGACAGAAAGAGATGAGACAAAATAGGGCTCTCTCAGCCCGTAGGGGGTGTCACTGGCTGGTTAGCTAGGATTGTTGTCTAGAGTTCAGGACTGTTGTGTTCAGGGCTCTGTTGTGTTATGGAAGAGATGTTTATTTTGAAGCTGGCAGACCTGAGAGCTGAGTATGTTTGTCCCACTTCACTGCTTACTGCCCAAATTACCGAACTGTGGCATGAGGAGCTTTTTGCCTCTTATCTTCTCACCAGTTACCACAAAATCACAAATGATCCACACACCAGTGAATGTATTATTTGGCCAGGTGAGTCCCAGAACATTCTGCCTTCTATCTCACCACCACCTGGAGCAGCAGTCTGTGGGATGGGTCTTCAGCTGCCTTAAATCTCTGTAGCATGTCTGGCATCAAGAGCACAGCACTGACTTAAATTAGCTCAGGAGCAGAGCCAGCAGTGATGCACCGTGAGGACACATCAAGTCATTCCTTTATCATTGCAAACACACTTTCTCATTTGGAGATGAAATCAGTGATCTGCTTGGTGTTTGTACTTTGTGGTAGCAGGCCTCAGCAATATCATTGTTACCAAGCGCTTCCAGTCAGCACTCACATGCTAACCTACAAAACTGTATTAGATCTTTCATTTTAAAATGAATGTGTTGGCAGCAAAAAGGAAAAAAAAAAATGTTAGTAAGTCAGAGAATCATTGAGAGAGCCTGCTACTAGGTATTGTCTTGGCTACAAAGAAAGTATAGTCAAACGATTTATCAGACTGGGTTGGTGGATTTTCAAACTGCAGTATCAAAAGATCTGAATGTATGGGGTGTGAATCAGGAGTTTAACTCTTCCTAATATTCAGTTGTGTATGAAATGTGTTCAGGTTTCCATTACTATTGCATCCAGCAATATGACAGAATGGGTTTTTCTGGGTTAACCTGTGGCCCCAGAAGTTTGCTACAAAAGAAATGGTACTGAAGGGAACAGGAATTCCCAGGCACGTATGAATGGATGCAGAAGTGCAGACATCAGTACTGTGCCAGCTCCCCTTGGAGATGCCTTGCAATGCCTCTGTGTTTGTTGATGTGGTTAGTGGTGTGCACTTCGAATGTGACAATCATTCCAGCAATAGGACTATTGTTACTACAAGGACAAAGTTAGCCATAAATAGAGTAAAACCCACTACTGTTCTGGTGTATTTATGAAACTTGCCGTTTCTATTAATCACATCCATGTGTATAAAATCCATATTTGTCATGCATAATTCTGCAATAGTGGATTTATTTATTATAGCACAATAATGGATGCTGCTCTGTGTGTCACAGCTCTGTTGTAAATGTTTGCATTTGCATGGATGTTCACCCAGAATTATAAAAACTTTAAAAAGAAAATATCTAAGTTTCAAGCTATTATTTGAAGACTATTCTGAGTAAATTTTTCACTTAACTTATACAACAGCTAACTTAATATTGAAATTGTTGGTCACAGGTAAGAGTTACACCAAAAACCCCTTATTTTCTCACAGCCCTGCTGTGATTATATTTTATCCACATTTCTCACATGAAAAAATAATTATTTTAAAGCTGGATGGGTGGTATTTCTTATAAACCCTTGAATCCCAGTACACACAGAAAGGCTTCTTACAGTGTACATCCTCTCAAACATTCTAAAACCTTGTGTCAAATCCGGAATTCTGCCATTTCAAGATGTTATGACTAAACACATTCATTCCAGAACTGGTTGTAGAATGCCAGTGAATAATCTATCGGACAAAAGTTATCTCATCAAAGGCTGAACAAACTTATTTCAGCCATGAGTAACTCAAGCTCCTCCTTTCACAAATGTTGCTGTTCATACATTTCAGTAAAACCACCTGCCTCCTCACCAAAGTAGGCTGCCCGTTTCCATTCAGGGGGTTCTTCCAGCAGTAGCTCCAGTGTTGTCTCTTCCAGGATGCTCTTGCAGCTCCAGCCTTGGCTCAGAGCAGTGCTGGCCCTGCAGTGCTGTGGCTGCTGCCCTGCTAACATGCTCATGCTGAAAAAATCACATTTTCTCTTTTTAAGGGGCAAGTGTTAACTGCATTGCCCTCAAAACTTTTCATCATCGTCTGGCTCCATTGATTTTCATCTGCTTAAAGAGGAGGTTGGATGTGGCAGATGTCTGGAATGGAAATAGCAGTAACCTTCCAGCACAATTTTAGGATACTGGACTAACTATATGATCAGTTTGCCCAGGACACTTTAATTTTAGTGGGGTTTATTTAATGCAAAACTATTCATGTGTGTATGTGTACATATACAAGCACACATAAAAATTCTTTTAACACAATATGACTGGAATTAGCCTGGCTTGGCAGGTCTGTGCTGTGTGGGTACTATGATCACTAGTCTGTTTTCCATTCCTCTGAGTTCTGCTTCCAATGGAGAATAGCACCAGGAGTTATTCCAGCTCTGAGTAACTCAATAGCAGTGCAGGGTGGGCCAAAGCTAATGGAAAATGGTAGCAAATTGAGCATTGCATTTTCCTCTGCCAGATGGTCCACTGCAGGGACAGCTAGCTAGACAAGTTACTCTGTGTTCAGAACTGAACCCGTTTGTTCAGTTGAATTATTGTTGAGTCTTCCAAGTTGTTCAACCAAGTCTGGTGAAAGAAGATACTACATCTAAATGATTAGACACTTCTTTAAAATGGGCCTTCCCTGTCTCACTTGTGACAACATACCATAAAACAGCAAACTCTACTTAAAAAGGTGCCCTTCACAACATTTTCCATTTAGTATGTAAGCAGTAAATAGTTTTGAAAATTACTTGGAAATGGAAAATTTGTCCCTAGTTTTTCAGAGGTGTCACAGGCAGAGTAGTGCCAGCCTGAGATTTAGCTGGACATACTAAAAACACAGATCCTTACAGATTTCTACTCATACTAATAGTCTCTTACTTTCTGGCAAGCGTGTGTAGATGAAGAAAAAATGTAGTAGGGTCTGAAGTAGATGAACTAGGGAAAAAATAACCATAATACGACTACTATTCATAAGCAGTATCAAAGATCATAGCAGATCAAGAGGCTCTCCATTGAATTGTCATAGTTCGTGTTCCCACGTCTCTTCCATGACACTGAATTATGTTCTTTAAACAAGTGCTAGCCCTCATTACTGCGGAGAAAAATTACAGGAAGTGAGTAATGAGCTACATAAGACAACTAAATCAGAAAACATATCAAAACCAGTCAAAAAGGAAGCACCATGCAAGCCATAAAGCCCTGAACACCTGCTGAATGTTTATGAG